AGTTTATGTAAATGCCTATCATACTTCCAAACTCTATACAAAAATGGATTCAAAGATTCTATCTATGAACCATTCTGATATTGTCATGTTAGTTCAAATACTTTTATCAAAAGTTGCAAAGTTTCAAATCACTGACCAAGATAAAACAAAAAGATTATATGGGTTGTCAACTGAAGTTTATCCAAACTTAGAAGAAGAAGGTTCACTGGATATTCCTACAAAATTTATTAGAGATGTACATTGCCAACTTAAATTATGCATTGAAGGTTAGTATAATATATATATATATACCCATGAACGAATAGATCCAATAATTAACTCAAACCTTTTAATTTTATTAAAGTTGGATATCCAATTATGGGTTCTAAAATTCAAAACTCAAATACATTCCAAGGAGGGTATGACGATATCCTTAAGAAAACAATGGTGCAACATTGTGAAGATAAACCTCAATCTATGAAGGATAAAATTGACCAAAAGTTAGGTGCAAGATTTGAAGTAAGAGTCCCATATAAACCAATACTTACAACAAATGAAAATGGTAAAAGAGTAATGCTATTGGAATATTTAGAATTGGTCAAACACATTATTCCTCAATTTTCTATTGAATACGACGAAGACGATCCACATTTAGAGCTTCAGCCATTGAAATTTAAATCCGTGAATACTACAGAATATGGAAAATTCAGACACAACTTGACTTTAACATACTACAAGCAAATACTTGACCATTTAATATTATTGCATGACAGTGTTATTATTTTACAAAAGATGGGAATTGAAAACAAGTATGTCTCTAGTTAAAAATTAAAGATAGATGGAAAATATGATACATATCCTAATCATTTTGTTTCTAGTTTTTTAACACAGCAACCAATTCAAAGTATATTTGTAAATATTTATATATTTATAAAATTATTGAATGGTGTTTTTAGAAGATTAGACTTTGATGATGATAAATTCCTTTCAAAAACAGTGGAAAAATTTTGTAATAGAGATCATGGTTTTTATTGTTTTAATAGGTCTATGTTTTCAAAACCATTTTATGGAGAAGATTTGCATCTATCCATTGGTAAAGTAAATTTATCTCACTTATACAAGAAGATTTTTCTTCATATCGATCCACAGGATGATAAAGAATCAATGTTGGAACTTAAGGAATGGATGAAAAGATTTTACAAAGTTACTTTAAAGAAAATGGATTTATATAGTAGCTATAAGATCGACTTCAATCCTAGAAATTCAAAGACAAGAGTTCAATTAATCAACAACTACAACTATCCCTTAAATTATTTATCATTTGAAACTATCTTAAGTAATACTTTTGAAATGAGAAAATATCATAGGTGGCAACTAGAACAACAAAACTATAGAAAAATGGAAAGAAAAAATGTATCAAATACCAAATCGAACAATAATAATTATAATTTAAATAACAATACCTATAATAATTCAAGTAAAAAGAATAATAATAATAATAATAATAATAATAATAATAATAATAATAATAATAATAATAATAATAATAATAATAATAATAATAATAATAATTATAATAACCCTTTAATCAACCATAACGATCGATTTAGTGATTCGAACAATTTCATTAATGAAATCCATGAAACAAACAATACCAATAATAATAACAATTCAAGTAATAATAATAACGATTCCAACCACAATACTGACGAAAATACTCAAACTTTGTTTGATAAAATTGGTCATGTAAGAATTTTATATGATTCCCTACATAGAATCTATAAAAAAGATTATCAAATTGAAGAAAGCGAACAATTTTTAATTCATTTATTAATTGCTTCAATGGTGAAAGATTTTGTAATAGCTTTGATGTCATCTAAAAGGTATGTTTCTTCAGATTTTCATTTTGACATTTTATATATCTAATTTATCATTATTTAGTTTTAAACCAATATTGGATGATTGTTTGCATATCTTTGACAGATCATTTTATAATAGTTTCATTGAACCTGGATATATGCAAAAAGACCAAGATTTACGCAAAATGAGTGCTGATGATGCGTTTTCAAAATATTACTATATTGGAAAATCGAAAGTGAATAACTATGTGTTCAAATGGATAGAGATGTTTGGAGAATCAAAATGTATAAAATTCATTGATGTAAACTTAAACCTCCGAATTAAAGGACTTAGAAAAGTTATGAAAACCTATGGGGATGTTTTTTTGAATATTTTCAAGATAATACCTCCTCCCAACATGGACAAAACACAAAAAAGAACTATCAAATTGCGAAAAGATAGAAATAACCCATTTTATAAACTGATATAAACAAATATTTTAAAAAATTTTATGAATAAACTTAAATGCAAAAAAAACTAATATAATATCTGAAGATGTTAATTTTTATAGTTTAGGGCCATAGTATCAGTTTTATAGTCAGGGCCATTAGTATCAGTTTCATAGTTTAGGGCCAAAGTATCAGTTTTATAGTCAGGGCCATAGTATCAGTTTCATAGTTTAGGGCCAAAGTATCAGTTTTATAGTTAGGGCCATAGTATCAGTTTTATAGTTAGGGCCATAGTACCTTTATATGGTTCATTATGAGAATGGGTGAGAATGGGTGAGAATGGGTTAGTTTGAGGCATGTCTTATGCTTCAATCAGGGCTCCTAACTGAGGTCCAATAAACTGATTTTGACTGAAACCGAAACTGATCTGAACCGATTGGTTTGGATTTAATTTTAACAATCTTCAAACCGTCCATAGTTTCAACGGTTTGCTTTTACAATAAAATGACAAAACCGATGCTATTTGGACTAAACCGATGCTATCGGTTTGGATCTTGGTATTGTCAAACCGAACCAAGATGACGGTTCGGAGCCCTGGCTTCAATATCTATCTGTATCTGTATGATCGAATCCATCAAAACTAAAAACTAAAGTCACTCTTGCGAGTGGCTTTCCTTGATTGAACCTGTTAGACTCTTTTACGAACCACATGTGCGATGGTTAACCGAATTCGTATAGGGTGACACCACTAGCGGTTGGGGTGTTGTTGATGCGATGATTCGTGTTATCTAGAATCGATCTGGTTGGTGAGTGTGTTGTTAATATTGGTGAAGATATTATTGTTGAGTGTGAGGGTGTAGTATAGGATAGATGAGGAATATATTCTATATTAGGCTAAGTTTTATACGCATTCTGGTATATTGTGGTACAATATTTCACCAAAACTGAATTTACCCCATAATAACCACATGATTTTTCAGTATCGGAATGAGGGTCATAGTGTCCGTTTTATAGTTAGGGCCAAGCAAATCTTTGCATATATGTAGGTCACCGGACAACCTAGACACTTTTCCAACCTGTACCTGATCAACCTGTCCGATAAAAAACCATTCTGTGATAGTGATTTGGTATGTGGAATGTAAACCTCCAAATTTGGGATCGAAACCAAAAAAGTGCAACTAAATAAGTACCTACTGACACCAACTTCAAATTTGGAGCCTGGTATTGGTGATATAGAAGCCAGATTAGTCCCATTTGTTCATTTTTTGTTCATTGTTTGTTCATTATAGAATTGAACAAGTAATCTGAAAACGGAGAGGGCCACCAAATTTTTGATGTGAATGAATCTATAAATGCAGTTTATAAGTGAATTCATTTGATAGCGTAGTTGTTTTAGTATAATATTTACTAAAATATACACTTGGGGTATTAATAGTTAGGTATAGAATTACAACAAGGATTTTCATACTTAGAAAATTTTTGGTTTTTTTTGGTGAAAAATAATCCTTTGGAATTACCTCAAACTCTTCAAAAGTTATTTAATTGGTGTGATATACTCATAAATATACTTATATTTTAGTATGGAGTACAATATAAAAATTTAAACTTGGCCCTGGCCCTGGTAGCAGCTTATAGAACCCTAACCCCTAACCCTAACCCTTTTTCCATTTAACCCCAATACACTAACACGTTGTTATATATATCAATGTCGTAACTGGTAATCGAACTCCCGACTAGTTAGGATTGAATCTGGAATACTTGAGTTACTATGAGACTTTGGTAACTATTGGTACTTTTAGATAAGAGAATAGTACTTTTAAGTAATTATTTTAGTGAAAGTGGTATAAATAAGTATATATCTATCGTATATATTAGGAGTTAATTTAAAATATGAAATTCTAAATTGAAAATTTTATGAGGAAAATACTTCGTACTTAGAAATTTTTTCTAAGTACGCATTTTTTTCAAGCTTCCACAATTGTTCTATTTTCTTTTTTAAAAATTTATTATTATATTTTAATACAGATAAATTTATGACGCTCTCTTTTTCAAATTATTTTTAAGACAATTATCAGTTTTTCAGAATTTTTTTTTAAAAGTAGATGTCATATAAATGACTCACTGAAAATAAATAATAAAACGATGAATCGCTCTTTGCAAAACCGAGAGTTTTGCTTAGAGAGGATCATTATAGTATTTGTTCATCACCCAAATATCAAATATATTACACTTTTATATTTTTTTATCTTTAAAGATTTTTTTTTACTTTATAATTGATATTTAAAAGAAGATACCTGTATATATATAGAGAGAGAGAGA